CACATAGAAGAGTCCTATAATTTTCTAGATCTGAACCCTTTCAAACTCCTGAGGAAACTGGCATAGTCTGGAAGACTTCTAAAAAGTTCATTAGACTGACAGAGCTTCTCTGGCTCTGGACACCTGGTTTTCCAGGGTTATTTATGAAGAAGGTGTGGTCAGACAAATGCTGGAGCAAGGGAAACTGTCCAGCTGAACAAGATCTTCTCCTGGCACGGTGGGAAACCTGATGCCTCTTTCAAGAGCCAGTGGGTAAGACCAACCTTCAACCTCTGCAGAACATCAGTGGGGAGGACTTCCACAGAAGAGATGCATTTGCCTGCTTAGTGAGTCACTGATGTTTTCCATGTGTTGCAATGTTGCCGTGAACCTGTAGTCAGTGTCTCTGCTTGTTCGACTGTGCTGCAAAATTGGGAAACGGAAGTTGTCCGTAGCTCCTGTTACATTAAACTGTTCGGACCACTTGGCTCCGTCGGTTTTGGCAAAGTTACCTGGAGTCTTGCAAGGCCTAGGTGCACCCACGCACATCCAGATCAGCAAACCATCAGCTCTGAAGCAATTGTTGGTGATGACATATTTTGTGACAGGAAATCATTGCAAAATGCTGGGTTCTCAGGATTAAAAACTTCTGTCCTGCTCAGAAAAATAAATGTAACTGGTATGTTCTAAACATCGATTTCTTCAGATTTTGTTCTGGGATAAAAATCAAAACCACTTTTCAGGATTTATTGTCTAATCATTAACACCTAGGCAGTCAGTAAATTTGTTACTGTTGCGATCTCTGATTTTCCACTGGAAAAAAAAAAAAAGAAAAGTTAAAGTTCAACCATAACCATTGAGTTTGCCCACACCAATCAAACGAGACAAGCCATTACACTATCTCACTAAATTGTTCTGTGGATAATTCCCTTGGCAATATTAAGGGATTAGATGCAAGACTGGTAGATCCATTAATACCATTTTGATTCACTAGCGTAACAAAGTTCAAAACAGCATTGAATGATTGCATCCTTATCAGGCTAGTGGAGGTAGCCCTCTCACCGTGGCTTCTGGTGGAATGACCCAGTAAGAGCTGCAAGGTAAGCAAACAGAAAATCTTCCTGCTGACCACCCCAAAAGGAAGCAACGGAGAAAAAAAAAAAGCAGGAGTTCACTGTGCAGGAACATGTCTACTGGTGCATGTTGGAGCAGACCTATTCAGAGTGTGATTAAGATGATTGGATTTTAAGTTTATGGTGATACATGAAATGTAAACAGACAAATGAAAAGCCCTAAACAAACAAAAAACCCCTCCCCTCCCCTTCTCCTGAGCTCCTGAAAGCTTTGTTCTACCCAGAAATAGTAGCAATTTTCCATTTCACTGCCACCTTATGGCATTTCAGAGAGATAACACTTCAGTAATTTCTATCGGATGCTTCATATTCTCAGGCAGCCTCCCTGGGAACCTGGATGTTACAGAAACGCAGCAGCTATAAATCTGCCCCTTGCATCCAGATTTGGTACAATATTAATGCCTGAGGTGCTGGGTTATACTTGCTTGTGAAAACTAATCATTAAAACGTCAATTTTATTTATATTTGCAGATTCGAAAGGGAGATCATTTCATCAGCCAAGGGGCTGAAAATAAATATGAACTTTGCAATGTTGTCAAAAGAGAATCTTTCAGTCTAAAAAAGCAACTAGCTCACTCATGACTCTCCCAAATGATTTTGCCTGTCCATTTTTGAAATTGAGGATGAAAGCTTAACAGATGCCCTTATTGTGTGTTTAGGGTTTTTCTGAGAGTAGTCTTAGCTAAGGAAAGAATCTACGAAAAGACTAACAGAAATTGGAGATGCCTTATAGTTTCCAGTCCCTTCAAATACATAATAATCCTTTTTTAAGCACACTTGTGTGGTTTCCTGGTAGATGAAAAGATGCTACGACTTGAATGGACAGGCTTTGGAGAGTCGGTTGGTTAATTATTGCTTGGAAATGTGGGCAGGATTGCCTAATAGGAAATAGACCAGGTGGGATTTTTGTAATGTGCATTCCCCAAGTGGATGGATAGGCTTGGTATTCAGAAAAGGGAGCTTAGCAGTAACTGAGAGTTTTGGATTTTGGTATGGATTGTGTTGGTACTGAAGTGGAAACAGGGTGATTTTAGGGAAGGGGTGTACCATATACAGGAGGACAAGCAAAAAGTTGTTTTTCTGAGGTAGCCTTGTTCTCTCTAAGTGAACAAAGTTGATTTCCCGTTTTTATTATCAGGCTGTAGACTGGCTATAAAGCTTTAAGGGACATTTTTTCAAACGGACACTGTCAGTATAAATTATGCATGGGTCTGATTTTTATTTACTGCTATTATAAGTAACAACAAATGCTAAAGCAAAGAGCTCACCCTCCCCCACCTGCTATTTTGCAGATCACCAACTTTTTCAAGTAACAAAGCTTGGCTGTCTCTCTCAAGTCTGTTCTCCTGTTTAGGTAGTCTTTTGAAAGAACTTTTGTCAGAAAATGTGATGTGCGTTGGTGCTCAAGGCCAAAAAAAAGAATTTCAAGCTCATGACTGGAATGTCTGGTGGCGCATTTCAGGTAGAGGAGAGCTGCACACTGCCTAGTTGCACATTTACTTTGGTTTTTTTATGTAGGATCGTTCATTAGGGAACTAATCCAATATGTAGCCCTAATTTTTGACAAATAGTCACGGCTGGGGTCAACATCTCTACCAAAACAGGAGAGAAAAAAGTTGTTTTCATGGTTGGTGGCTTATTGAGACTGTGTCTCAGCAACATTTGATACAGTGGTGTCTCAGAGGGGAGCTGGAACAATAAGTACGGTAGGGTGGGTTGGGGTGGCTGCAGTACTGCTCCAATACTGTCATTTCAGACTGCCTCTTTTAGTCCTCGTTAGAGCACGCCACTCTGAACTGTCAGGTTTCCAGCTGTACAGAGCTGCACAGGTAGCTTATGAAGAATCAAACCTTAAACAATCCCAGGTCCTTTGTAGTAGGTAAAACCATTCATCATTTATCAGGCAGGAAAAAAGGTTTCCAGCAAACCGAGCACCCCAGTGCGAGCAATCTGCTGAACAGGACCGTTTTGAGAGACTGGGTTTGTTTTCCACTGCTTTGGAAAACAGCTCTTGTAAAGGATAAATTTTAGCTGCCTTTGGCCAGGTCTTTGTTTGCTCACATAGCAGTGTTGTTCAGAACAGGACTGGAAAAAAAGTAAAAAAAAAAAATCAATCTGGCAATATTCTGATGCCTTGAAAAGAAAACAGCAGTTCTTAGTTAGACTCTAACACTGGCAAAAAGTGCTTCTGCTAGTCCAAGTTATTTTGTTTGTGGTATAAACTATTCTGGCAAGAACACTTTTTTTTTTTTTAATGGCATAAGCAAGTGGTGCTTGATTTTTGCTGAGGTCTGCCGAGTAATTTTACTGAGGTCACAGCAGGGAGCAGTACTCCAGCGCCTGCTTTGCCAGGGCTGGGAACTGATGTCCCTGGGGATGCTTCAGAACCCTGAAGAAGCACAGGCTCTTCCAGAACAGTGCCTGGGACTCTGGCCAGGGCCAAGCTCAATCCACTCGTGGTTGCACCGAGACCTGGATATGAGGGCCAGTTTAGCGGCTCTAATACTAACTGTGTTTCCTGTAAGAAAGCCTTGCTGGTAACAGCTGAATTGGGAGAACTTTCGAAGACTCTTCATCTTCCTTCCCCCTCGCTCAGCCCGGCTTCTGCAAAACAGGGTTACCGTCCCTTCACATGCCACCTTTGCCACTTCCAGCGTACCGCTGCCGTGTTTTTTTTTTAACAAGCCACCTCACCGCGCTGCTACCCTTTTCCCCACAGCCGCCCCATTTTGCCCGCCGACCACACCGCAGGCCTGCGGATGACACCGCAGCATCGCTGTCCTTCACGGCCCGACGAGGGACGGAGGCCGAGCTCCCACCACCTCAGCCCCTGAGGGTTTGAGGCACCAACCGGGCGATTTCGGGGTTTTAACTTTCGCGCCCCTCCCTCGGCTCGGCGCTGCCCAAGCGGCCTTCCCTTACGGGCAAGGACCGGGCGGTGGAATCCCGGTGGGACAGGAGGCCTCGGAGGGCAGGCAGGGCCTGAGGCGGGGGGCGGCCGCCT